TTAAATTATTCCACACAGCCCCCTGCATACCCCCCACCCCGACGTGCACCCCTAATGTAATCTGTGTGTCTGAATTCTAATTTCTACCGTCAGGAGAAAATAAATAGTGTGTAGTTAATTATGGCAGTCGGCTGCCGGCTCCTCAGGATGATTTATGAAGCACGCACACGCATTCACAAACGCATTGCTCTTAATTTATTTTTAATCTGTCTTTCAATTAATTTTGCTGAAAACACCTTAATGATGTCAGGGGTGTGTGTTAATGAGACCAGGTCGGGAACGAAAAAGGGGGAGGGGGAGGGGGAGGGTGGTGCTCGGAGCTGCCTTCTCCTCCTCGACCTTTCCTCCCCCAGCGCCGGAGCGCCTCTGCCTTGTGGGGTTGCTCTTGGTCCCCTCCTGCTGGTCACTCATGGGGCGTACAGAGGCTGTTACACTGCTGTGTCACCAGCGTGTTCCTGCTCTCTGATCTCGTGTTAAAAATGCCTTTGGCACCTCTTCATGTTAGTGTTCGTTCGTTTAAAACGCAGGTTGAGTGCTTTCGTTCGTTCCTTCATTAATAAAGGTGAGCGATGGCTTACCCGTCGTACCCTTCATTTGCAGGTGATTATGTCAAACGCAGGTCTGCGTTTAATCTCTCCCTCTCATTTCAAGAAAGACCTCACCTGCCCATAGACCGCCAATGGATGTAAGATATGTACGTCCTGATGTCTCTCTATAAAGGCCAGGTCGGGACAGACTCCATCACTTTCTGCAGGGTTTAATTCAGAAACAGAGCCCGTCCCAAATTGGGAGTGGGCCAGCAGTGTTGTGAGTGGGCTGGAGGTCTTTCTGCCAATGTGCCTTCCGCCAATTAACCCCCAGCCAAGCCCGAGGATGCCATCTGTCACCCCTCAGCCACACAACAGGAAGCTGTTCATTAATTCTCACGGTGTCTGCCTAACAAGCCCGTAATGGCAGACAGAGGCCATGGAGAGGACAGAGTGATGTGTGGATGTGGATGAAGCGCATGCGTGTGTGTGTGTGTGTGTGTGTGTGTGTGTGTGTGTATGTGTGTGTGTGTGTGTGTGTGTGTGGCAGCTTCACTCCTCAGGAAGAGATGATGTTTTCACTCAGGGCAAGAGATCGAGAGAGCAGGACCTTAGCAAACCCCACCCGAAGCACCGAAGGAGTCGTGTGATTGTCTACACCCCTGGGGGGTCATGTCCACTTGTCCTCTGGTTCCTTCATGGTTTGCATATAGGACATATTAAATGAATCTTCTTTAATTATCCCCATCTTTACCCCTCCCCCCCAACAGCACCTATGTCCTGCTGTTCTTGTCCCGCTGCGGTAACGAGCAGAAGAGTGAGAGAGAGGCATGAAGAGTAATTACCGATTTTAGTAGAGTGCAGCTGAAAGTCTTTTGTCCAATGGCACTAATTCCAAATGGTTAACAAGGTTTTTCTATTTAATAGAGTCAAATCTGTGTGACAGCAAATTGCTTTCCCATTTGCCGCCCTAATGGCTTTTCATACTCGGCTCCCCCAATAAGCAGTAAAGTCGGGAATTAATATTGCACGTGTTATGATGCAAATGGGAGTGAGATAAGGGACAGGCACTTTCATGCAGAAAGCTCTGATTAGATGTGTAATTGCTTCTCTCAGACTTTATTTCATTAAAACTTGCTTAAGTTTTCACGTGTGTATTCCAAGATTTTCCTCTGATGCGATATCGCTCCTCCATCTCCGTCTCAGATGCCGGTTCCTCTGCGTCGCCGTGCCTTTGAGATTTATGACCGCCGATTCGGACGCGGCTGAGCAGGGCTGGTCAAAGCAGCGTCAGCACCGCCGTTTGCAAGTGAATCTGCGTGATGCTTTGGACACACAGGCCAACATGAAAAGTGGGAGCGTAACATTTAGGATAAAGGAGAGTCCTGCCTCTCATCCCATGGTGATCAAGCTTGGAGAGGCAGGTAGGGAGGTGTGTAAAGGTCACAAATCTGTTACCTCTGAAGACTGCCCAACTATATTAAAGGGCGATAATTGTCAGTCACTACATTTGGCTAAATGGCCAAGTATAAATGTACTGAAGATAGTGTTTCTAAAGGATTCCTGCAGAGACAACTGAGAGCAAATGAATCTTTTCCTGCTCGGATATTTGGAGGGCTTGGGAACATTAGTGTAATATACAGAGCAGTAAGATCATGGGTTACCTGTTAAATACTTTAAGAGCCTTTGAATTCTTTAAGTAGGAGCCTTAGTTTTAGCTCCAGTGCTTTTAATCTCATCTCTGTTGCTGGTTGCCAGGTAACACTTGTAATTGTGATGTAATAACTCCTTTGTAGTTGAAATCCCGGTTAATGATGAAATGGCTTTTGGTGTTTTTTTAACGTCTTGCATGTCAGTCTAGAGCAACAGAAGGGAAATTGTCCTGTGTTCGCGAACATACACTTTTCAGGAATTTGCTGGCTGTGAGCAGTGGTGCCCGGTCCGTAGAGGGCCGTGGGGTGGACCGCATTCCCTGTGGTTCAGCTGTTTGTTGCTCTAGTGTGTTATTACAATAAGCGCTAATGGCGCACTGCCTTATTGGATAATAGTTTACTTTTCAGTCCCTGGTCTGTGGAAACATACACATGCACATCGTCTGGTGATAGTATTACCTTCCTATCACCACCGAACACAGATCTCACTAATGAAGGAACGAACGGTACATTAGTGGCCGGTTCACAGAACAGTGTCAAGCAAAGCAAACGACGATCACCAGGGTGAGAGTGACCAGTGTGGTGCCAGATATCACCCGAACAAGTCTTCTGTGTGTTACATTGAGGTGGAAAAGAGATGACGGACAAGGAAATTGCCTTGTTATTCTGACTTCCCACAAAAAAGATAGATAAATGTATCTGAATTAGGGTTGCACAATATTGGAAAAAAATTCACATCTTGATATTTGAAATTTTTGCAATATTTATAACATAATAGTCTGTCAAATAAGTTGTGTCGGTACAAAACAGGGCCAATAAATCTCTTGCTTTTGCTCAGTATCGTCTCCGTGGAATACAAAATATTTCCGTATGGCGGAAGGCAAATTTTTTTTGAGTTTATTGGTGAACAGCTCTTGTTCGCTTTCTCCTCCTTAATCATTTTTGTTAAATTTCCTCACCGACGCTCCCCATTGTCTATGAGTGAGTCAAACGGCAAGGACAAAATGATTGTGATGGCCCAGAGAGTGCATGCAGAGCTCACTCGGCAGCAACAGCGGCAAGCTTTAGAATGATTCTGTATCAGCTAGTGTTCTTTCCTGTGACAGAGTAAAAATGCTTTCATGTAACATATCAATGGTCTGAACCCAGCTACCACAACCCTTGCGATGTGATAATTGCATGTGCGTAACATGCGATGTCAATGTGAACATTGCACATTGTGCCGCTCTAGACCAAAGAGATGAGCCTTACTGTAGCTTCTTGAGGCTAAGTGGCCTTTGCCCATTACTTTCTGCAGTTGGTTGGTTCGCTTGGCCGCATACAGTCTGATTCTCACATCATGTCTCTATGGCAACAGATCATTTCTTGTACAGTTCATCCACATTTTACCTGCTGCTTTAGTAATTGGGTTGGATTTTAAGAGAAAGACCACAGTGGTGTTAATGACTTGATATTTGTGGATGGAGGATAAAGCTGTAACAGAATTCAATGGAAAAAGTGGGAAAATGTGAATTATGAGTGAGATAGAGAACTGTAGTCTTGGCCTCTGTGAGTCTTCATTTTTAATCTGTTGTTCTTCACAGATTAGGATTCATACCCTGAATGAATGGAGTTACTTTAATTCATTTGCCCACATGTCACGGTGGTGCAGTGCCTCTGGGACTAGGGATCGAGTCTCCACCAGGGCTCTATGTGTGTGGAGTTTGCATTTTCTCCCCGGGTTATTGTGAGGGGGTGGCGGGGGTGTGCTAGGAGTGTCAGGAGCAGGACCACCAAAAGATTTCTTTGTCTCTGGAAGGTGGTTCATTTCCACAACCCCCATCACAAACTCCAGTCTCATTCAGATCTTGATTGATTCAGATAAATTTACATATTTTGGTGTGAAAGATTACCAATTTTGATGAGGTCAAATCCAGTCTGTGGATCTAGTCTGGGCACGTTGCGATGTCATTAAGCTTTTTGTGGGATTTATTCTCCATGCTCGGATAAGTTTCACTCTGAGATCCTGGCGGGTCCCTGTCATAGCAGTCTTATAAAAAGTGCTGGCTTTGTCTGGGCCGCTTGCCGTGTGATGGAATCTGGATGTAATCCTCATAGACTCGCTCAGACCTCCTGTCCCGCCTCATTGCTGCCCCCTCTGTGCCCCCACCGGGCCTCAGCCAAAGCGCTCCGAGTAGATCTTTATTTACACCGCAGAACTCCAAAACAGCTGGTCGATTCATTTAGCCCGAGGCCCCGGATTTGTTCCCGTTCCGTACAAAAGCTAAAGAAAAGCCGGGGTGTCCCCCCCCCCCACTCCCGTCCTATTGATCCGACACTTAGGAAATCTGCTCGGCTGTCTAAATGCTATTGATCCTCCTTCTCCACCGCCGCTTTCCACACCGGCGTATAAAGGGACTGGATGAATTGAAATTTCATTTCCGACAAGCTGTTCCTGTTATTTTTATCTTTTTTTTTTCGATGGGAAGAAGCATGTTGGGCTAGACTGTCACTTTATGGGGGTCAGTAGCAGGCAAGCTGCATCTTGGCCCTTACCGCTTTCTTCTCGGTCACATGATTAATGGAAGATTGCGGGCCAACCAGCGAGCATGTCTCTCCTTCTTGTCCGCATTTGAGCTTACCGTCAACTTCTGCGATGTGTGTCTGTGATGCAGAGGGTAGTAATTAAGTTTGAAGGCGGTCTGAAATCCACATCATCACTTTGAGAAATGGCCTCGGGGCACTGTGATGTTCTTCACTTCCCATCCACAAGCAGAAGTGGCCTGTTTCTCAACGGCGTGAGGCGGGAAACTTCCTGTTTAGTGTTTCTGTCATTTCGCAGCTTCAGGAGAAGAATGCGGAGCTGCAAAGGCTGCAGACGGCATACGATGAACTGCAGGGTCACGAGAGGCAGTGGGAGAAAGAGAGAACGGCCCTGCGGCACAAGTTCAGCCGCAGCAAGGAAGAGCTCCACAGCGCCACCCTCAGGGTATGTTAGGATTGCAGCCTTTCCCTGTCTTCAGTGGCATGACTGAATAAAGATATATGGGTGCATAAGCTGGGACCTTGCATAATTACCATAAATATTCAGATAATAAACACATTTTAGTTTCAGGCATCTATGTTAGGCCCATCATATTTCTTCCCGTGATAGCTATAATTATTAGATTTATGGCTAAATCATTGTTTTTCCCCCTGCAGCCGTTTGCTATCTTCTCATTCCTAAAATAAGCACCTGTGGGGACCGGGCAAGCTCACATGCCTGCTCCCCATGCCCACAAACTGCATGTTTTGTCATGGGTTACATTGAGAAAAATAGATGCGCGATTTGACATAGATAGATTGCTAAATTAAATTAGCAATATTAAAATTATACATCAGTGTCTGGCTGCTTTCAGCGGCAGAGAAACTATACTCTGTAATTGACGCTGGTAATTCTGTGCTCCTGGGTTTTTAGTATGAAACAAATGGACAGCACTAGGCAGACCTACGCGTAACCTCTTGGATGGAGGATAAAGCATTATTTTTATGGTAATAGTCATTTTCTCATTTCATAACGACATACAGGCATTTGTTACAAGAGAGACTAATGTCAGGAATAGATGTGTAGTCTCGATCATGGTGCAAACATTACGATTAATGGAATATTCTGGAAATCCTTTCTGTGATCTAACAGAACACTTCGGCCGCATGTGAGATGCGCGGGTTTAATCTGGAGCTGCACTCAGACAGCATATATGCTGTCCTCTCCTCGCTTGGGGCAGCGGGTGGCGTCAGGGATTTGCTCCAAAAAGTCGGTGTCAGAACAGACTGTCAGCAATGCCCAGAACGGCACCTCCAGAGCCGTGCCTTTTCTGCAGCAGCGCCACGGGCGTCTGAACCAGAGCGACAGTCCGTCCCCCTCCCGCCTTTCCTCCCTTTCAATATTTCATTACCTTTTTTTCCCCCAGTGCCAATTTTAAAGATTCCTTTTCATGCCCGACCGTTAAAAAAAAAAAATCCTCTCTGAAAAGAAAGCACTTTGTTTTATTAAAGTTTCAGACATGCCTTTTGAACTGTCCTGCCGGCTGGCGGGTAGCGGCAGGGCCGAGAGGTATTCCATGGCTGGAAATAAGACCAGACAACAATACTTAGCATAGGCTAAAATAAAGAAGCGAGAGCTGAACTAAGCTAGCATAACTAAAGCCAAAGCCTGTAATTTAGGCCCCTTAGGGAGGCAGAATTGCAGCACAGCCTTAGACAAATTAGATTAGGTACAGTTCAATTACTTTATTATGCTGGGTGTTTGTATAGAGGCCCATTTCCACTATAGAACTAATTCCGGAATCCATGTCTTGCATACAGAGGAGAAGCTGACGTGAGGTGTCTCTTTTTATTTCCTTTACACTAAATAGACGCAGGCTTCACAGCTTCTCTCTCTCCCTTCCTTTCTGTCGTTCCCTCCCTTTGCCTTGTCATCTAATCTCCGTAGCTTTCCCAGAATAAAGGTGAAATGGAGAGACTGGGAGATGAGCACCAGCAGGTCCAGGACAAGGCTGTGCTTGTGCCCGCTTTGTGCTGTTACTTGGCTGGTGGTTTTGCAATGCTGCCCACCCTGCACCACATCCACCTCCAGTGCACCCTACCCCCTTATGCTGTGAGGGCCCGCATTGTATAAACATCGAGTGCCTTGAAGCTCGCTATGTCTGAAAATAAGTGGAATTAATCTCACCCTGTCTGCATTAATAAATGTGCAGTGACAGACTTGATTTCACTTGGCCGTCGCAGAAAAACCATTGAGGCCTGTTACCAGAAGGACACCATAGCGATCTAGAATAGCTAAGAGACTTTTGAGAGAAACTCCAAAGGATTGGGGAGGGTCCTTGTTACCATGAATGGGAGCTCAACTTTTGTGTGGACGGACTGTAAACCAGGACAAACTAGATATAACCAGTTCAGGCAGGTTTCACTAAGAATTGGCAACTTTGACAGGGGATAGAAGGAGTGGTGAAGTAGGTCACAGACTGTGCACAGACTGTTTATTTTTCTAAACAGACTGTTTTCTCTTTGTGGCAATTAAAACCCTGTCCGTCTACTGAGAAGTTTCGTTTGTCGGAGTTTTACTGAGTGTTGGACTGCAGCAGCACTGATGTAAGCTGGCGAGATACGCTAGAGTGAGGTGACGCCTCCAGAGCGTCGTGGGCAGGCTGCTTCCGAGACCGCGGCCGGCTGCTGGTCTCCGCACTCCACGCTGTCCTGCCCCTTCATTCACTTTGCTCCCTGATCAAGCTGCTGTCAAAATAGGCATTTCTAAATTTATCAAAAATGTCGATGTGATTCCCAGTCTGGGGTGTGTGGTTGGCTTTGGCCTGTTATTACGGAACGGGGAGAAAACTGGAAAGTTACTGTGGAACATGGAAACTCTGAAAGGGTTTGAAGATGGTTGCTGCTCGACTGGTCTTATTTGTTTCGAGGGGTTTTGTACATCCTTAATGTAAGAGCTGTGGTTTCCGATGTACAGGTGGAGCAGTAAGTAATGGAGTGTGACAGGGGGCTGAGCAATTTGAGGGAGCAACACCTACAGGTCATGGAGGAGCTGCATGAGGCTTGTGGTGCAGCCCTGACCGCTCTCCAGTTCAGGGAGGAGGAGGCCTAGCAGCAGGAAGAGGGGAAGCAGGGGCTGCAGGGAGCCATGGGGAACCAACGGGCCCCAGGTGGGGGGAGCGGACACCGTCGGGCTTCAGCACCCATTCATCAGCATGAACTCGCCATGCAGACCGCTGTCTGAGCTAAAACACGTATGAGCGTTGTGTTTTTGTGCTTAGGAAGCAAATTAATAATATTCTCTGATGGGATTTGAAGGAAATTGGCTTTCTTTTAACACAGAGGATGCCTGGTTTGGTCTGGGAAAATGAGTGTTGTGAATGGAATTAGCATCCAGGCAGAGTCGAAAAAACTCCCGCCTGACTTCTGGAAACTCTTTGAAGCGTACAGTTAATTGGCTTAATCCCACAGTAAATTTACCTACCCATCAGCCCCTGCTCTCAAAGGCCAGCGAGCCGCTGGGTTTGCTTTGTAATTCAGAGGCACGAAACTCCACCCCTTACCACTTGGTGCTGAAGGCCGGTTATGAATGCGGGGGAATAATGTGTGTCCCCTTACGGTTAATTGGTCTGCCACTTCTGGCTGCGCCTTCGCCCCCCCCCACCCCTGCTCCATGTGCTGCTTCCTCCCCTCCATTGGCTTGGCCATCGCTCACACTAGCACCATACGGGTTTCGGGTTGTTCACCATCATTCACAGCACCGGAAAGAGTGCATACTCTTTCATATATGTGGATAATAATGCGTAGTTTACAACACTCTCTCTTAGGCAGAATAGTACATTTTCTAGAGCATTATATACCCACATTATTGGATTTTGCTTTTAGATTGGGAAACAGACAATAAACCAGCCCATTTCCATAAAGCAGAGGACAGATGACTCAGTGTGCTGGGCTTATCTTTGAAATAGCAAATTATCTCTGTGGAAGGACCATAGCAATTGTACAAGAAAACTGTAGAATGAATTTTGCATTAATATTTACAGTGCTCACAAAGTCTTAGGACGCTTGCTAAATTAAGCAAAAATATTGCAAAATTATTGGTTTTATAACAAAAATCATTACTTAAACATTCGAGTAGTAATGAATTGAAACCCAAGTTAAAGTTCTAAAAGAGCCGTTCTGAGTTAAAAAGTTCACTGAGAAGCAGTCTGGGTGTTTTCTAATCAGTAACACCTTTACAGTAACATAAAATTCCAAACATTTGTGTTTAGTTTCCCTTTGGAAGCCAATGACTACCATTGCAATTAATAGCAAAATGGTAAGAACAGAATGGTTCAGTCAAAAAATCATGACAATTAGTAAAAAGAAAATGTCTGTGTGGAAGACATGCAGATGCGTTAAACATTGCTTGTCAATGGACTTGTCAATGTTATGAAACCAATTTCCAACATTATTACAACATTAAGCATCACAAGACTTTCTGTGAATACTATTTATCAAATTTGACATGCAATCGAGAAAGCAGGGTCAGTGACTGGGGTTGAGGGTCTTGCTCAAGGACCCAGCAGTGAAATGAATCTGCTGGCTACGGGATTTGAACCAGCAACCTTCTTAACCTGTGGAGCCATGCACCGTCCCTCCTGAGGCATACAGATTTTGGCAGTCATGTATAAGTGATGTTACCAGGTCTGCTGTTAGAACTTTCATTTACAGAAATTATATTTTAATGGCACACGAAAATCATCAGGAATGCAAGTCAATTGTATAAAACTGCAGACAGGTTTTTAACCTGAATTCACTCCGAGGATAAATGTTTGATTCGGTCACAAATATAGTCTCTGCCAGCATGAAGTATGCGATGACCAACCTTTTATTTGCTATAATGAAATGACCTCACTTTCTGTTTCCCAGCTAGGACAACAAGAAGACAACATGGCGACACTAGCAGCCGAGGCAGAGAGCTTCAGAGAGAAGCTACGGCACCGGGATGATGACGCTTCTTCTCTCCGCCAGCAGCTGCTCTGCTCCCAAGATGCATTGCAGCAAGCGACTGCAGAGCTCAGGGCCTGCAAGAGAGAGGAGGAAGAGCAGGTGTGGGAGAATGACCATTAGCTGTTAGCATGATCTTCCAGGATCCACATGCTGTTTTATTTCCACCAACCAAAGTCAACCATTTCATCCAGCAGGTCACAAAACACTGAGCCTGGGTTCTTTTATAAAATCATGCCTAATACAAACATACTTACATGATTATGAAGTAATTCAAATGATTCACTATAGCAAAACACACCTGACAGTATATTGTAAGGATATTTTCAGAAAGTGAACTTGTGACTGTCTAACACTAACACATGCTGATTGATAACCACAGTTATATGTAACTCTCAAGACAAGGACTAGTGTACAATTTACCATGAACTGAAATTATACTCGGTGGCTTCTCTAATAGGTATACCTGGCCATTAACATAAATTGCATGTTTCTCCAAACAGAAAATCATGTGGCTGCAAATGAATACATACAGTATGCAGACAGAATGTTCATCCCAAGGGCTTAATGTATTTTGCAGTTAAGGCGTCTGATATTTGTGATATTTAAACATGGTGTAATTGCTGGTATTGGACATGATGGTTCCAACATCGCAGAAACTGTCCCCTCCTGAGATTTTCACACACTGCAGTGTCTAGAGGTTTCAGATGGTGGTGTCATAGAAACATATCCGGTCAAGCTCAGTTCTGTTTGGGGGCAAACACTTAATGGGAGGTCAGAGTAGAATGACCATCTTCATTAAAGTTGACAGGAAGGGCACAAGGGCCAAAAAGGAACGGATCGGTACAACAGCCGTGTGCAGAAAGCCGCGTTTGAGCCCACGGCTCATCTACAGTTTGGGTGATCCTACATGGCAGTGTGCAGGACAGGGGTGGACAATCATATCCTCAAAGGGCCAGTGTGTATATGCAGGTTCTTGGGGTAACCTTTAGGTCAGCTGTTCAATCCCAGGTGTCAGGACTCTTCAGGCAATCAGTCCTCTAATTAGTAATCTAATTAGGGAGCTGCAGTGAAAACCTGCATCCCCAACGGCCCTTTCTGGATAAGATTGGCCACCCCTGCCTAATAAATTGTCCATTACATGCATGCACAAACATTGTTTGCATTTATCTGACACTTCTATCCAAAGTGACTTAAATAGAAGGATGGGTTACAATTTATTTATGCTTCCTGGGATTCAAACCCACAACCTTTTTATTGTTAGCATAATGCTCTACTTGTTGAGGTACAGGACCTTAAGTTAAAATGCCATATAGTTTTATTTTCTGTATTTTTTAAGAGAATACTGAGCAGAAGCAGCGCGTGGACAAGATTTGGCCTGACTGGCGTATTTTTAAGGCACAGGGCCCAGCTCCTGTCCTCACGCCGAGCGGCTCTGACAGCACGTCTGCTGTTCCTGAGGCGGCCGGGATCAAGGCGAGATTTTGTGTTCTCAGCTGGTTCAGGAAGAGGACGCGACAGCCAGGCTGAAGGGGCAGCTGCGGGAGGCGGTCAGGCAGCAGAAGCACCTGGCGTCCCGTGTGCTGCAGCTCACCGCGGAGGCCCGGGATCTGTACACCGAAGTCGGCCTGCTGACAGAGAGCCACCGGGCCGCCCTGCAGGAGGTCAGCTGACAGGTTTTAAAGACCAACCTACATCTGTCATATGGAGTCATGTGAGTCGCAGAGGCTGCTCTTCTTTCGCGCAGAGGTTACCATGGTCACCAGCGACGGCTGTCTGCCTGCCTGCCGTTTGAAGCGATGGGAGAGTGGTGTTAAAGCCCACATTGTTGTGCCTGAACGTTGCTGCCTTGCAGGTGGCTGACAGGGACGAGGCCGTATCGATGCTGACAGCGGAGCTCCGCACTGCCCAGGAGCGCCTGAGATCAGTGCAGGAAGAGGTGCGAACCACCCCCGCCCCCCTCCAAGTCACATCAGACCTGACAGAATTGCGCCCCCCCCCCCGCTTCCTGATCTCCTCAGCTCCCTACTGCGAGCTGATGCTTCACACAACGAAAGCTTGACCTTGTGCTCAATGTATGGAGGGCAGCTGTGAGCCCCTTGGGGTCCGCTGATGAGCATGAATCCCATTCAGGATGTACTGTGCTTCATTCTCCATTAGAACTGGTCCAGCACAAGGTCACAGAACCTTCACTTCATATGCCCGGGTGCATTGGCCACAATTCAGAGTTAAGCTCGAGGAGGGAGGTGCTGGCAGGGCGACACTCTGGGCTAGTTTGAGGGAGAGTGACCCTCTCTCACTCCCTCCTGCCCGATTTCTGCATCATTACTGAAGCGCAATCATCTTTTATTAATCTGCCGAGCACCGGTCAGCTGTGGGGTCGCAGGCATCCCATCCTGCAGTAAAAGGGACAGCGCTGTCACTCGAGTGCCGCAGGGACGCCTGGAGTTCCTTGAAGGTTTTTATGTAATTGTTTTATAATTATTTTATCGGGCCCCCGAATGATGCGTCTGAACTCACTGCTCGCAGTCGTTTGCATGTGGTGCTGCTTCCTGACGGAGACTTGCATGGCTGACAAATACTTGCAGTGTTATTTATTTATGGTGCCCTCAATTATTCATTTGTTTATTTTTCATGGCAGTACTAACTGTGGCTCGAAAATGTATTCTTGCTGATGGGCATGCCCCCCCCCCCCCACAAAGGACTTGGAGGGGACATCTCAGACTTTTTAGTAACTGCTTTATGTGGCGTTTCCACATGGAGATGCTGTTTTTATCCAAACGGGCAGGC